TAGCCTAATAATCTATTCAAAAACTTCCAAGAACTTTCATTCTCATAAAATCATCTATCTTAGAACGAAAAGAAGAGAAAAGAGGCGATAGTTTTTCCAAGAACAAGAAGAGGTCTTCTTCTAGTTCACCCCCAAAATCCAAAGGATTTCTCCATAATTTTCGTCACCTGGTATGTGGGATTTCACTAGTGGGTTCCTTTCACCCATTAGGTCCATAGAATTTAGTCAGCTCTTCAATTTCTCATAAGTTGTTAGGACCTAGGGCCTTCAAAAGCTTGGAGATTCATTGTGATTTAACATCTATAGTTTCCACGACCTAAATAACACGTTTCTTGGAAAATTTGAATATCCCCTTGTATTGAACTAAGAACCCTAGGTTGTATTAACTATCAACATTTCATGAATTATATTTGTTAGGCAGATCAATCAGAAAATCATACTTCATAATTTGAATGCCATATCTTTCAGTATATATATATATGTGTGTGTGTGTGTGTGTGTGTGTGTGTTGCATTCTCAAATAGCATATCAAAATTTTGAGCTACTCGGTATTTTAGTGCATTTTAGCTTTACATATTTTATTAGGAGTAGACTTAGCACTGAGTTGGACCAAGGTTCAGCGTACCCTCAAAGTTCCTAAACTACGTGTTAACGTAGGTTTATAAGTTCCCTCTGTTGGGCATCCATTTTAGTGATCATGCCTCTCTACCCCTGGCAAGGTATATTGGGTCCTCTAGATGGGGCAAATACATCGGACTCCATAGTTAGCTCATGTGGTTTATATCAGTTAATAGTAGCTCCCACAGACATATTGCTATTACATTGACCATGTTATTAACATTTATTTCACTATTAAGTTCAACATGTTATCTTCATGATTAGTACTTGGTCATTATGTATAGCTTAGTTTTCAGTTATTCTTCAGTACAACCTATTGCCATGCTCAGTCTAAATTGATTGTAACATATTATTTTGTTTATATCGTTCAACTTAGTATCTATATCCTGCATGCTCAATACATTAAAAGTACAGACACACACTTTGCGCTACATACAGAACATGCTTAGTATGATTTCCACCCAATATTCAGCAACTTCAGTAGTGAGTCCTCATCGTGCTAAGACGTTTCTGTAACATCCCAAAAATTTCTATGTTAAGACTCGAGTCATTCTTTATGGTGAATAAGATTTGTACTAAGTGATTCTAAATTTTTCTTAGGTGTTAAGGTCACTAAAATTCCCTAACATAAAGTTGAGTTTAAAACGTTCCTTCCAATTGACTTTCACTATGAGATTTTCCTAGGGTAAACTTCAATAAACTATATCTTTTAGCATATAAATAATTAGGTGGCCTATGAAATATCAAATCGAAGGTCTATGAGTCCTCTTTCCAACGCCACCAAGTTTGCTAAATTTGGAACTCCGAGTAAAAAGATATGTCCATTTATGTGAAGCCTTTCCATTTTTTTTAGGAAAGGGTATTTTGGTATTTTCCTTTTCCCCACATGTCTTAACATATTTTTTTTTACCTAAGGGTTTAATAAGATTCTAAAATACCCATTCACATTCAAATCACTTAGGGTTTTTAGAGCAATGTTTCAAGAGGAGAAATGAGAGGTTTTCAAGCACTCTTCAACATTCGTTGATTTTTGCCAAGAACATGGTTCTTTCCATGTATGTGAGGTTTTCCATAGTAATGGACTTGTCCGTCCTCACACAAATCATGTAGTTCTTCCATAAATTTATTCATCAAATTATATATGTAAAGATTCTTGAGTAGTTCTTGTGTTTTAGCCCCATTCATTATCTATGAAGGTTTTGAGTTCTTCAGGTGAGGGTATTGCGAGTGAGTGGTGTTTCTTGATATAGTTTGAGTGAGATTTCAATAAATTTGTGTTGGGTTTATGAATCAAAGAGTGTTTGGAAGAAACCAATAGATTTTAGATGGGTTAGGACTCAAAATTTAACAGGAAAATTCGTCAGATTTTTGGGTCTGGGCTGGGGCAATGTGCCCCCATAGTGCCAGGAGGTCTAATACCCTATGCCAGAAGTGTGCCCCAAAGTACTCCCAGTACTTTTGGGGATGAAGCGAAGCACCACCGATGTGCTAGAGTCATCAGCCTTTTTCCTTATCCATTCTTCATCCCATATGTGTTCCTTCGAATCGTGTCTTTATTCTATTGTTGATATTAACTATTAAAGTCTTCATAAATTCCTAAGAGATTCTACATATCCTAAGCACATCACTTAATTTACATTTCAAATTAGAGTAAAGTTAAGAGGGAAGTTCAAAAGGCCCTTTTAAGTTATTTTGAAAAGTCTTTCGCAATTAATTGTTGATATACCATGAGTTTACGGTATTTTTGATGCGTTTCACTCAGAGTTTGTGTTTGTCTAGGGCTATTTTGTATTATAAATAATGTTTTGTGTATAATTTTTTCTGGAAATAGGCTTGGATTAGATTGATGGAGATGATAGCTAAAAAAGTGCAGAAGTAGCCACCAACGGAGTGACCCACAGACCGTAGGTCCAATGACGGGCCATGGATGGGCAGCCATAGGTCCGGGTCTGGGGGTTGTAGTTCTAGTACTCAGTCCACGGAATGCCAGGACAGACCGTTGTCCAGTACACAACCGTAGGTGATGCATTGTAGGTGGAACATCAGGGAAGTCTGACCAAGTGTGGAGCCACGGAGAAGACGATGGACCGTAGGTCGACCCACGGTCCATCCTGTACATCCGTCATTGATGATCTGGGAGTTGAAGATTCCAGTACCTGATGAAAGTTTGTAAGTGTTGAACCATGAAAGGTGACCTACGAACTGTAGGTCGATTCACGGTTCGTAGGTTGTATTGTCGACAAAAGTCGCGTTCCAGCAGTTTATTTCCTTATTTTGTTTCCTATTTTATTTAGGACTTGTTTTATATAAATAGGAGTTGTAATCCTCATTTTGGGGGTTAGACATTATTGTAAGGTTTTAGTTTTGTTCTTTGGGAATTAATTTGCAAACTCTTAGCAATTACCTTTTTGGATTTCATTGAATAAGATTTTCACTTTGAAATTCAATTGAAGATTTTGGGTTTCATCAATTCTACTTGTAAGTTCATGAATTCTTCTTATCTTATTATGAATTGTGAAATCTCAAGCATGAGTAGTTAAATCCAAAACTAGGGTTTTGGGAACCATGAGCAATTAACAAAGTATGAGTAATAATTAAGTAATTCTTGAGTAGTGTTTATGAATGTATTGTTAGTTCTTTCGCTTAGAAGTCTTTTTAACGGTTGCAAACGTTAGAACTCACCTCGTTTCTAGTTGCCGGACCAAGGAGGTAGTGAGAAAAGAATTAACAACAGAGATTTAGTGGATGCTATCTAATAATCTAATGTCAATTGGAGTGAGGGTGAAAACTAAGTCATACATTCATGTGATGACTAATCTAGGTTAAAGGTAAGGGTTAGTAAAGTGTACATAAGTAGTCGGACCAAAGTACATGGTGAGATTCCCTACTTGGAGGACCAATCACTTAGGGATATCTAACTTGCCAACTTTGCATGTAAAGCACTAGTAAAGGATTACTATTATTAGGATTACCGCATTTAGAGCTTGTGGGGAACACTTATACCCTAGTTTCTTTCTCTAATTGATAAACCAAAGTGTGAATTGTGTTTACTTGTTACTTAAGCATTATAAAATGTTACGTATTTACGAATCCCCCCTGTTTACTTTCCTCAGAAATAAGTTGACTGAATTGATATAATAGTGAGTTAAAGTTAAGTCTAAACCATATTCCTCGTGGGATTGACCCCAACCTACAAGTTGGGTTCTTTTACTTGATAACGATCGTTTATCCTTCTTTAGGGAGGTGTAATTTGAGCGTATCAAATTTTGGCGCCGCTGCAGGGGAATTTGGCTTTTAGATTAAGTTTAACTATATTATTGAACTTTAGTCAAGTGTTTCCTAATTTTATGTTTTGTTTTTGTTTTTGTCTTCTACAGGTTTCTACTTTAGTGTATGCTAAGTACACAGAGTTGAGGCAAACCATTGACCCACTACGATCCAGAGTTGAGTAAAACATTGAGAAAAATGAATAATCAAGGGGGTCCACAACAATCCAAACAGAGAGGGTTTAAAAGATGGAGTAGAGTTGCAGCCTCCAGGAGTTGTTAATGTACCCACTCAGGTTCATGGTTGTAATTTAATTGGTAATGTAGAAAGGGTTCAAAATCTGTCGGCCCTGAGGTTTCATGAGCATTACAAGGCTGATTATGATGAAACTACATCGAATGGGCCTATTGTTCTTCCACCTCTACCTCCAGCTCATACATTTGTAGTAACCCGCAGTCTGATATAGATCCTTACAACGAGAGGGTTGTTTGTTGGGTTGTCTTCGGAGGATCCTTATGATCACATGGTGAAATTTACCAGTGTTTGCAAAAGTTATGTCGGACGACCGGAGCTAGATATGGATGTCGTCGGTCAGAGGGTCCTACCACTATCACTGACTAGAAATGTTGTTGAGTGGTTTTTTGAGTTACCATACAATTCGATCTATTTATGGGACCAAATGCACAAGGTGTTCACAACAAGATACTTTTTGCTGTCCAAGAAGCTAAACCATAAAGATAAAATGAACAACTTCACAACACTACTAGGAGAGTCGATAAGTAGTTCTTGGGATAGGTTCACCAGTTTCATCAAAAGTGTTCCAAACCACCACATCGATGATGAGTCTTTGAAGGAGTATTTCTATAGAGTACAAGATGAAAAATGGGAGAGATGTGTTAGATACAATTACTGGAGGATCTTATTGTGAGTGTAATTTTGAGAAGATTACTGTGAAACTTCAAAGGATTTCCCAAAACAACAAAGCCTGGAGCACTAGAAAGGAAAATACTTGCAGGACCACTTTCGTTGTCCAAACCGCACCCAACCAATCCAGTGATGACATTCGGGAAGAGATGGCACAGATGAGAACATAATTGGGTTTGGTATTGAAACATATGAGTGGTTGTGCGAAAAAGGTAAATTTTGTGAATTATCTGACTAGATCTCCACTACCATCAGTTGAGGAGTGTTACTGTGAGGAGGATGCGTACTTGGTGAATGATCAGACGGGGGGTGTTCGAACCAACGCCCAAGGTTCCAACTCGAATAATTGGCGCCAAGGTAAAGGAAACCAAGGTTGGAACTATCGAAGATACAACCGTGAGGGGAAATACAACCATGAAGGTAACTATGTCCGAGATGGGAACTACAATCACGACAACAATTACAACCAGAACAATTATGGCAACATGAATGATAAGGTTGGTCCCTATGTCCCTCCTGGTAATAGAGACAATGGTAATACTATGTCACACATTGAAGATATGATGCAAAAGATGATGAAGAGGTTTGATTTTACTGATGAGAATGTGAAAGAGATGCAAAATGAATTGTCTGGAAGCGGTCAAAAAAGTTGATGCCCATGCAGTGTTGATCAAGTAACTTGAGCAACAACTTAGTTAGTTGTCCACAAATGCAAATCCACGTCATCCTGGCACACTTCCTAGCAACACCACCCAAAATCTGAAAAATTATGGGCCTTGTATGGCAGTCACCACTCACGGAGGAAAGCAAACCATTGATCCCCTTATGCCGTCTGAGGTTGAAAATGTGTTAGAGAAGGATGAAGATGAGATTGAGGTTACTGAAGTCGCAAAAGATAGTGCTAAAAAGGAAGTTGAGGTGACCCAAAAAGTTGTTCCTATGACTAGTCCTCACCTCCATTCCCACAATGGTTGGTGAGAAAGACTGAAGAAGGAAAATACTGCAAGTTCATCACTATGTTGAAGCAATTGTCCATCAATGTCCCATTGATAGAAGCTTTAGAACAAATGCCTGGGTACGGTAAACTCATGAAGGACTTGGTGACCAAAAAGAGGGTTGTCAATTTCGAGAATGATGAGAGGTTGCAACATTGCAATGCTATTGCTACTAGGTCATTTGTGCAAAATAAAAAGGATCCTGGAGTGTTCAATATTCCTTGTATCACTGGGATGTTACACTTTGCAAAAGCTTTGTGTGATTTGGGTGCCAACATTAACTTGATGCCGTTGTCCATTTATAAAAAGTTGGGTTTAAGAGCTCCAAAACCGACTGCGATGTATCTACTTATGGCCGATAGAATTGTGAAGAAGACCATTGGTGTTCTCCAAGATGTCCTTGTGAAAATGGAGTCGTTCATTTTTCCGGCGGATTTTTTGATACTTTATTGTGAGGTCGAGTTTAAGGTTCCTATCATCTTAGGGAGAGCATTCCTTGCCACTGGAAGTGCCTTGATCGATATGGAACGAGGGCATATGAAGTTCTTACTGAATAATGATGAGGTAACTTTTAATATATGTTGGTCTATGAAGCAGGAACGTGATCTTAAGTCGATATCGGTGGTGAATTACATTGCGGAATGAGGTTCTGAAGTGTCTATTGAAGAGAGGTAGGGTGTTGATGCACTGGCAGCGATAATGATGAATTTTGATGGTGATGGTATTGAAGACTATGATGAATTGGTTGCCGTACTTGATAGATTCGAATTATGTTCCAAACCAAAAAGATTGGAGTTAGATATGAAGAATCATAAATCCCCACCTGGAAAATCGTCTATGGAAGAACCTCCAAAACTGGAACTCAAGCCTCTACCTTCACACTTAAGGTATGTATTATTTGGGAGAGATAGCACTTTACCAGTAATCATTGCTGCGGATTTGAGCGAGGATCATGTTGAGGCCTTGGTTGCTGTTTTGAAGAGGTTCAAGAGGGCTATAGATGGACTATTGCGTATATTATTGGTATTTCACCAGGCATTTGTTCTCACAAAATCCAACTCATGCCGGACAGTAAGCCAAGTATTGAGCACCAAAGGAGATTGAATCCCCCTATGCAAAAGGTTGTGAAATAAGAGATCATTAAGTGGTTGGATGTTAGAGTCATATATCCCATTGCCGATAGTAGTTGGGTTTGTCCTATTTAGTGTGTGCCCAAGAAAGGGGGAATCACCGTGGTACCAAATGCCAAAAATGAACTTGTTCCAATGAGGCCGGTGCCTATTGGAGAGTGTGCAAGGATTACTGCAAGCTAAATGCATGGATAGAGAAAGACCATTTCCCTATGTCGTTCATGGATCAGATGTTGGATCCTCTCACTGGTAAGGGTTGGTATTATTTTCTAGATGGGTATTCGGGCAATAATAAATCCTCCATAGCTCCACAAGACCAAGAGAAGATCACATTCACTTGTCCTTATGGGACTTTCACATTCAAAAGGATACCATTTGGGTTGTGTAATGCTCCAGTAACCTTCTAGCGGTGTATGAAGTCAATATTTTCAGATATGGTGGAGGAAACTATTAAGGTATTTATAGATGATTTCTCTTTTGTAGGTGACTGGTTTGATGGATCTAGCCGAGGTACTGAAACAGTGTGAAGAGTGCAATCTTGTGCTCAAGTGGGAAAAGTGTCGCTTCATGGTGAAAGATTGTATAGTTCTAGAGAATCGTATTTCGCAAAAAGGTATTGAGGTTGATCAAGACAAATTTTATTTAATAGAAAAGGTTCCACCACCCATCTCTGTCAATGGTGTTTCGAGTTTTCTTGGGCATGCAGGTTTCTACTGGAGGTTCATAAAGGATTTCTCAAAAATTTCACACCCATTGTGCAAATTTGCTTGAAAAGGAGTGTAAGTTTGATTTTGATGATGCTTTTCTAAGAGAATTTGGAGAGTTGGAAGCAAAGTTAACTTCCGCACCTATCATTATTTCACCATATTTGGGACGACCGTTTGAAGTTATATGTGATGTGAGTGGGGTGGTGCTTCGGGTGGTATAGGGACAGAGGCAAGAACAGATTCTTCATCAGATTTACTTTACCAGCAAAGCTCTGAATGTGTCTCAAAAGATCAATACAGTGACTAAACAAGAACTCCTTGATGTGGTTTTCACATTCGAGAAATCTAGGTCCTAATTGCTTGGTTCTAAGGTCATAGTGCATACTGACCATTCTATATTGAGGTATCTGATGGCTAAAAAGGATGCAAAATTGAGGTTGATTAGATGGTTGTTGTTGTTGCAAGAGTTCAATTTTGAGGTGAAATATAGAAAGGGGATCGAAAATCAAGTTGTCAATCATTTGTCTAGATTTGAGAATGAAGCTATGATTAAGTTTGAGGATGGTATTGAGATCAATGATGCGTTCCCTGATGAACAAGTATTGGCGGCTTCTTATGATCTTATCCCTTGGTTCAGAGATTTTGCTAATGACTTGACAAATGATTTGGTTGCATCGGATTTTTCATTCCACCAAAGAAAAAAATTCATGTATGATGTGAAGAAATTTATTTGGGATGAGCCTTACTTGTTCTGTAGTTGTTCTGATGGGATTATTTGTCGCTGTGTGCCCGAGGTTGAGATGATGAGTATACTAGAGGCGTGTCATTCATTGCATGTTGGTGGGAACCATAGTGGTGTCCGAACTGCTCACAAAATTTTGCAGTGTGGGTATTACTAGCCTACCATCCACCAAGATGCTCATGATTTCACCAAGTCTTGTGACCGTTGCCAAAGTGAAGGGGTATTTCAAAGAAGCAAGAGCTACCTATGAATCTAATATTGGTGATTGAGTTAGTTGATATTTGTGGCCTTGACTTCATTGGTCCATTTGTAAACTCTCGTGGGATGTAATATATTCTTTTTGTGGTTGACTATGTGTCGAAATGGGTGGAAGAAATTGGGTTTTCAAACAATGAGGGAAAGAGTGTCACCATATTCCAGAAAAAAGAGTATCCTCTCGGGATTTGGTACACCTAGGGTGATTATGAGCGATGGAGGTTCTCACTTTTGTAACAAGTTGTTCAAGGCATTTCTAGAAAATATGGGGTTCGTCATAATGTAGCCACTCCGAATTATCCGCAGTCTAGTGGGCAAGTTATGGTGTCAAATAGAGAGATAAAGCAAATCCATGCAAAGACTGTGAACTCCAACAAAACTCATTGGTCAAAATGGTTTGATGATTCTCTATGGGCCTATTGCACCGCATTCAAGACCCCCATAGGTATGTCCCCCTACCAACTTGTATATGGGAAGTCATGTCATTTGACTATAGAGCTAGAGCATAAAGCAATGTGGGCGCTAAAGAAGTTGAATTTTGAGTGGGGCTCCTCATCGAGCCAAAGACTGAATGACATGAATGAGCTTGATGAGTTTCACCTAAAAGCATATGAAAGTTCACCCCTTTTACAAGAAGAAGATGAAGAAGTACCATGATCAAAATATTGAAAAGCGTGAATTTGTTGTGGGTGATTTGGTGCTCTTATTCAACTCAAGGTTGCGCTTGCTTCCTGGCAAGCTCAAGTCCAAGTGGACCGGGCTATTCAGAGTCACTTAAGAATTTCCACTTGGAGCGGTCGAGCTCGAGAACAAGGAAGGAATGAGGTTTAAAGTGAACAAACAAAGAATCAAAGTTTACTTGGGAAAATCTGAAAGTGTGAAAGAAGTGATTGAGACCTATTATCTTGATGAAGTTTGAGTAATCAAGGTGTGTGCGTCGTGCCGTGACGTTAAATCAAGTGCTGCTTTGGAGAGAACCCAAGATGTACAATCTAGCCAACTATAGGATTTTTTCTTTTCAATTTAAGAGTTTTCTTCTTTCTTTTTTATTTTTGTAGATCTTTAGATATATGGATAGATAAATAATAGGGTCCGTGTCTAAAAATTATCAGGAAAATGCAAAAAGAAAGTCCTAATGGTTGCTACGTGTGCAAGGACAAAAAGGCAAAATCTGCAGAAACATGTTGTGTAGTGGTCTACGGACCCCATCGATGGTCTGTTGGTCAATCCACAAACCGTGGATGGTGTCCGTAGATCCTAGGCTCTAATTTTTCTAAGTGTTAGAGTGACCTACAGACCTAATCGATAGATCGTAGGTCGACCCACGGACCGTCGATGGGGTCTTGTGGGTCCAAACTAAGGCTTTTGCCTAACCTGACCCGGACCCCTATTTAATAAAACCGTTCATTTTTAAAACTCTTCCCGTTTCCAAATCCCCCAGCCGGTTTTAACCCTCAAATACCCATGATCATCAATTAATCACACTCATATCACTATCCAATTGATACATATCATTCCCCCATCTCCCATATCTCCTTCTTCTATCCCAAATCATTTCCCTAATCACTTCCATTTTCTTCCCCAAGCGATTTTACAGTCCGGGTTAGGTGTCCACGTTGTTCTAGTAGTTTTTGCAGTCGATCACACACTCACCATTGTTGATTACTTGTAAGGTAAGTTTATTTCACTAAAACTTTGACCATTTCATAATTTCATATTGAAATCACAACAATGAACTTGACCTTGGATTGTTACATCAAGTGTTTGAATGTTGAATTTGTAGTTTGAAACACCCTTGGAATGACGGTATGTGAGTGTGTTGTAAATTAAAACCCATATAATCAATTAATAGGTCTAATTGGAAGTTCTGACTTAGGGTTCATTTTTTTAGTATGTTAAAAAATTGGAATGTGTGTAAATGGAACCCTAAGGATGATGAACTACCAAATAATGTCTTGAAATTCATGTTTATACTTAAATTGAGTCATTACTTGATGAAATTGTGCATTGATTAAAAGTTGAGTGTAACCTGGCACATAACTGACCCACGACTTCAACCCCCAAACCGTAGGTCAACCTACAGACGGTAGGTCAAGGTCTGTGGACCAGTGAAACATACAAAATTGCTTTAAGTGTACAACCACGGTGTGGACTACGGTCCATCGTTTGATCAAGGGATCATTCTGCACATCCGTATTTCCCCATGTGGATGTGGAACCCAAATATGTGACCTCCTGACCTATGGAGGGACCCACAGACTGCCAGTCCATCGACTAGGTCACCAGTTTAGCTACTGCCTGGAATTTTTTTGAGTTGTTGTTTGGGTCCAAAACTTCTTCTAAAATTATTCCATGTGTCATATTGTCTTGTTTCAGTACTAACAAGTCTTCCACATGTACCATGGGTCCCAAAAAATGTCCAACCTACGCACAAAAGGGAAAGTCCAAATTCGTCGCTACTTCCTAATGTCTGCTTGAGGTGGACATTGATACCGAGTGCATTCCACCTACCACCAGGATCTCCCCCACTTCCCCACGTACTACTAGGCGATCTATGCAAGTTGTCTCTACCAGTGTAGAGGTCGAGGCCACAACCCTACAGTCTGAGGAGGGGGCCACACTTTTCGGTTCTGAGTAGCAGTCCGGATCTAGTACTAGTGTCAGTACCACTTCTTCTTCTGAGGACGATAGCTCAGGTGACAGCCCGGTACCTACCATAGTTGTGCTTGCCCCCAACGACGATTAATCGAATAGATGGTGCATTCCACACCAGCATCAGTTGTATGAGAATGGCACTATGATGAATAAGCAC